ACAGCCCCAGAGCTGCGCCCGACATGGACTGCGGAGTCATCACCTCCAAGACCGTGCTGCTGCTGCTGAGCCTCGCCTTCTGGGTACCGCGGGGCTGTCCCGGGTGGAGGGGAACGGGGGCTGTGGCAGGGGGACGTGCTCGCCATCCCGGGTTTCCCGCGCACCGGGGTTAGCTCTGCGCAGGTAGTGCGTGTATTTCTGTAGCAACGCCGGAATACGTATTTTTAAAGGACGAGGAGATTTACGGGTTTTAAGTTTCTAAGAAAAAAAAATATAAGGTCGGACCTGGTTGGGTTTTTTTTGTTTGTTTTTTCTTCGTGGCGTGTTTTTAATGTACCCGGCTTTTTAGTAGTGTTTTTAGTTAAAACAGTTTGTAACCACGTTTTGTGATCAGAAGCAATTGGAGCCGCTTGGTGAGGACATTTTATAAGGGCTTTCCTCCATATTTGGGGTGAGGAGATTTTTGGGGAGGAAATCTGCTGAGAACTTTGTTCCAGCTATGTCCTTGGCACAGTTACGGCTTTCCAAATCACTTCCACGGTAATTATTTACAAGCAAGTGAAGAGATGAGGGTGTTTTTTATGCTTTTCAGCCTAACCCTCGCTGGTTTGGGGGTGTTGGCATGGGAGGCTGCCTTGTGACGGTGACAGCAGGGCCTGGGGCTGTTCAGAAGAGCTGGGGATTATTCTGGTAAGCAGGCTCGGGCATTCCCCCTGCGTGGGGAAGTTTGGAAAACCCCCAGCAGCACCATCAGCCGCCCCGGGACTTGTGTGCTGCTGTCAGGGAAGGGCCCTTGTCAAACCTCACATCTGTCGGTGCCATGGGATGGGGGCTCACGGCTGCCTTGTAGCACCTGGGTGTTTTCCAGACGGGTTTTGCTAGGTATGCCTCCCACCTGCCGGCAGCAGCGAGGGCCTGGAGCTGCTCGGCCCGGGCTGGGGCTCAGCTTTGCAGCGCCCCTTCCTCTGGGTGTCATGGGGGCCCTTCCTGAGGAGGAGAACCAGAGCTCTCCAAAGAGAGATGCTACAAGAGGAGAGGAAAAATAAAGTGAAAGAAGGAATACTCGAATTAATCCCTGGGGCCTCGTGGGGTGTGGTGCCGTTTTGTAGAACATGACTTGCTGCTGGCTGTGGTGAGGCGCTCGTCCCCTCCGTCCTGTGCCTCGTTTTTGGAGGCCTGGCACAATTTATTGCTAAATGTGCTCCATATGACTCCTGAGCCACTGGCACAGGTGGAGCTGCGGGCCGGGTCATAGCTGCACACCAGGTAACATGATCTCACCGTGTCTGCTTGGTTTGTGGTGATTGTGTTGTTGTTTGTTGTTTTTTAAGTAGCCACAGAGAAACATTGCAGCATCCCACTCTTTGTATGTGGAAATGCCCTGAGCCTCAGATCAGGCATACCTCAGGTTAGCATCATTGCTTGGCTTTTTAAATATGAAACAACAGCCTTATATCCTCCTAGAAATGTCTCTGGTACTTTTTCTTCTGCTGTAGGAAAGCTCTCTAATCGTGTTTGGGTCATCTGCATCCATGGACTGTCAGTAAAGATCCTCCTTCATGTCTATGGCCTCTGAATTTGGGGTGACCCAGACCCCAAAAAAGGCTGCCTTTGGGTTGTTTTTTATCCCAGTAGGAGCAGTGCAGCCCAGTACCTGTGGCATCTAGTTGCTGCTGCCACCATTATGTGTGGTAATCACATTCCAGCAGCAGAACTGCAGAACCTGGAATTCTGGTTTTGGGAGGGTGGAGATGGAGGGGCTGATTCTTTTATGCTCCTTCAGAACACTTCTAACAGTCAGGGCTCTGTAAGTACAAGGTTCCAGATGATTGTGAAAACACAGGATTTGCAAAGAACATTAGAGTCCTTCCCCAAGGAGTAATTCATGTCGAGACATTGCATGCTGCAGATCTTTCCCAGCTCAGAAGCGATTACGGAAAATAATTCACCACCTGCGTAGTCAGCAGATGGTGCAGATGTGGTTCTTTGACAGAAGTTATTACTTAAGAATATCCTAAAAAGGCAAAAATCCTCTCTTGGATTTCTGATCGTTATCGTGGGTTGTGGAGGAAGTCAGATCTTCCACAATGACAAATCGGGGCTTACTAAACGAGGTGAAAAAACAGCTTTTCTCCTGAGCACCAGGCTCAGCATTGTATGTGCGGGTCATTCTGGGGGTGAGGGATCCATGCATAACTCCCCCCAGAAACTCAGTGATTAAAGATTATTTAATTAAAAGGCTACCACGGTGGTGCTTTAGGCTGTGGGAGTTCTTCCCACCTCCTGTTCTACTCTTCAGCACCTTCTAATTAGGTGCAAGTGTGTGGTTGTTTTGGTAAGTGGGTGTTGGCCTGCTCTAGGTGAAGACTGGGGATGCAGGTTTATCTCATGGGACCTAAAAGAGGGAGAGGAAGGGTTAGAGCAGACCATGATGTTCTTGGCAATGTGTTTTGAGAGGACTGGGCTGGGTGGGATGTAATGATGCTCTTTTTGAAGGAGAGAGCTGAAATGCTGGGATTCACTTCCTGTGCCAAGGGAAGAAACTGAGAGTCTTAAAACTAGATGGAAGCACTGTGCTCCAGTATTTCTGTCCAGTGTGCAGTAAACACCTTCCCAGGCTGCTTTTAACCTCAAAGCATCCAGCACCATGCCCCTGCTTGCCTTCAGCTTCGCTGTCACTAAACAGGTCTCTGCCTTCAGAGGGTGTTTGGCGTCTGCTGGTGGTCCTGGGGACTAGGAGATGGACTTCCATCATCCTTGTGGGTCCCCTCCAACTCAAGATACTCTGATTCACCACCAACGGGCTACTTAGTTGTTCCTGCAGTGAAAATCCTGTTTGTCCAGATTTCCCATTCACTTTTAGGCAGAAGTGGGTACATCCCCAGCTTCCTTGCTCTACTTGCCCAACAGCAGGGAGAAACAAAAGGACAAGTTCTGTCCGGGAGGCTTTAGCAGGACCAGGGGATTTGAGACAGAAGCATTTGATCTGCTGACAAGAAGTGCAGCCCTCTGCCATGGACAGGAACACCTTCCACTAGGCCACGTTGCTCAAGGAATCACAATATTGCTGTGGTTCACTTTATGTAATTTTTAGTAATTTTAAGGTGTAAACTTAGCCAGAAGAAAAATTCCTGCATGTGTGAATGGTTTAAATCGCTCATGGCAGTAATGAGTACTTTGGGAATGCCTAACTCTGAAGCCTCAAGTCAGAGAGAAATCTGGATACTTTTAGTGAACAGTGTATTGAATAGCAAAGATTGCATTGAAGAAGGGAAGGCAAAGGTGGGGGGCTCCTTGGGAGCTGGAACAAGGGTGATTTTTAAGGTCCCTTCCAACCCTTGCCTTTCTATGATTTCTAGCTCGTTTCTGAATGGTGAGGGAAGAGCAGCCACATGATGCAGAGTGGTCACAGGATGGGGCTGATGCTGGGGCTGGGCACTTCGGTGTGATCCTGTTGAGCGTGCCTTGAAAGGGTAAAGTTCCTCCTTGTTTTAAATTTTTCTGCCCAAAATCAGGAAGCAGAACTGAACTGACTTTCAGGAAGATGGGCTCTGCTCTTTTGCATAGGGGCCTCAGGGACTAAATTAAAATGAAGGTGCTGGTGCTGTGTGGTCAGCACAGGGGAAGTGTTGGGACAGTGATGCAGATTTGGAGAAACAACCTCAGCCAGACTGTCCCCAGCAGTCCCTGTGGCTGTGGAAGGACCCACTGGATGGCTGGGCTATGTATCCATCCCTAAAGACACTTTGATCTCTTCAAAGGTGTCACCAAAACCAGAGGTCTGATGTTGACAGGCTGAGAAGGCCGGGGTGATCAGCCTGGAAATGAGGAAGTTGTGGAGACTGTGTAACAGCCTTCCAGAGTCTGATGGAGGAAGCAAGGAAAGCAAAGAGGGATTCTTCATCAGGAGCTGTAGTGGTGGCAGAATGGCTTCACACTGAAAAGAGGAGAAATTTAGTACAGATATTGGGAAGGAATTGCTCCTGTGAGGGTGCTCAGGCACTGGCGTAGGTTGCCCAGAGAGGTGGAAATGTTCCAGACCAGGCTGGACAGAGCTTGGAGCAACCTGGGATAGTGAAAGGTGTCCTTGCCCATGGCAGGGGGTGGAGCTGGATGAGCTTTATGGGTCCTTCCAACACAAACCATTCTGAATTTCTGTGATTCCATGTTGTGGAAGTGTGTGTGGTAATTACAACGGTTCAAGAGGTCCCATTTTGGTACCTCTTTAGCAAGATTTAGGATTAGCTCTGCTGTGATTTAGCAGAGTTCAGTTGCAGGGTCTGGTGTCTGAGCCTGGAACAGCTGACCGAGAAACTGGGGTGGTTCCGAAGGCAAATATTGAACTACAGGGTGTTTTGTGTCCAAAGGCTGCTCAGATCCAAAACTGCCTGGCACTGGCCGAAAAATCAATCCATGCTCAGCTGAAGTCTCACTCCCTGCAAGCTCATGCCCTGCAGTCTGTGTATTTGGGGAGAATACAAGTGAAAATGGGGGTTCTGACAAGTGAAAATGGGAGTTCGTCCTCTCTCTCTCCTCCTCTTGTTACCTCTGTGATTGTGATTAACAGCAGCGCCCTAGCTGCAACGCAGGGGTTTAAGCATTGGAAGTTGTAGAGAAGGGGGCAGCATTCCTTGTTTGGCACTGCTGTACGCTGTCTCTGTGAGGACATCCCACCATTTGTTGGCTTTTAGGGATGGGAAAATAACCTTGGAATTAGGCTTATAGAACAGAAGAAGACATGCTAAAACAACTCTTAAAGTGGACATTTACTTAAAACAGCTTGAAAACAAGCCTACTACACCCAGAGACCCCTCTGAGTGTGTGGTTTTGCGGCATGTAAAAACTGCAGGAAAATGTTCGTCTGGGTTGGGGATTTTTTCTCCTCAAAGAGAGACATAGGTTTCCAGAGCCTTTTGGCAGCTGCTCACTGTTTTCATTTGAGAAAAAAAAGGGAAAAGCAAGTGCTTCCCACCGTACCCAGCACACAGCCTGAGGTGTGTTTTGAAGGCAGGCTGAAACATGCCCCGCAGTTGTACATCCCAGCTGAATATTTTGGTATAACAGACTTTGATGTGTCTGCTGT